AGGCCAGCAAAAGTTTATAATTAACAGATAGCTTTATCACTCTACGTTCTTTATTCCAAGAATTGGCTTATTTGGGCCTTCTACACGGATAAAATATAAACTTGAATTAAACCATGTAATTCGAGTAGCCGTAAACAAACAAGTTTTCGCGGAAACCAAATGCGTCACCTCGACGTGCTCACAGTATATAGTAACTGTAGACTCAAAACTCGGCAGGACAAAAGACAAGGAGTTAAGCTACCTTAGGAAATAATTGCTTTATATTCAGATTCATTTGTGGCGCAAAAAATAAACGTTGAACAAAAAGTGGCCGAGAGCTGGGCCCCATACTGTACTGCAACTGACGAACGAAAGCACAAATATGATTGCTGGAAAAAAATTGCTGAAACCGATTCAAAGACTTCGCAAGCTTCTGGAGAGCAAAGTTGAGGAATGTTATGAAATAAAAGCGATTGTACAAGAACTTAAAATTGGACGACGCGTCAAAGAAGATAGCATTAAAGATTGTAGTTCGGGAATTGAAGCAGAGTTGGACAAGTACAAGAGAAAGATATTAGAGGGTATGTTAGGCTTACCCAAGGTAAACTACCCAGGCATAAGGACTGATCTAGTGAGGCTGGATGATAATTGCCAGGAGTAGGGGTTCCCGCAATTAGTAGAAGCTTTAATAAAATTGTGTGAGAGGAACACTGTCCCACTGGATGGCAAACCTGGCAGACGTGAAAAGGGAGACAACTGAGACAAGAGGGCGGACAAAATAGGTCAAGTGTTTACTGTAAGTCTGAGTAACATAAACACAGTTGACTGTGACTAGATTAGCCGACAGGAGGAGGTAATTGTCTGACAATTCGTGTATTTTAACTGTATTGGCACTAGGCATAGAGCTGCGGAATGCAGATGGACCACAACTTGCCTGGGGTGTAATGGGAAGCATCATTGTTCGCTTTGTGATGAACTTTCAAACCAGCTTATGCTAGCAACAGGTGGAGGCTAAGTGGTGTACCCAGTAGTTTTGGTAGAAGTGGATGGAATTAGGTGTAGAGCCTTATTAGACACGGGAGCCGGGAGCTCCTATGCATCAGCAATCCTAATTAACAAACTGAACAGGAAGCCAGATCGTAAAGAGTAAAAGAGAATGGAAATGATGATAATGAACAAGTCAGAAGATAGAATTGTAGGAGGTCCAAGTCTCTAACATTAAAGGAGGTTTCAGTTTGTCTACTACCCTAAGCAAAGTCGACAAGGGAACTTTGTTGACTATCCCGAACCCAAGATACGTGGTTATAACCTCCAAGTACCAACACCTCAAGGGCGTGGCGATTGATGATACCAGCTTCTCAAAATCATTAATTATTCATAAAGAAAACACAAAGAAAATTAATGTTTAATGAGTGTTTGGAAATCAGATGAAGAACTGCTCATTTTTGCATTCTTAATTTCTCTTTCTAAAATCATTTTGTTTGAGAAGTAACATCAAGTATTCGACACAGTGTTTCATCACCAGATGAAACAACTCGAATTTTGTCAAAAATACTCCGCTGCGCGTCCTTTTTTCAACTCTCTTCTCGTTGTTTCATCTGGTGATGAAACACTGCGTCTCATGCCTGATATATTACATCAAGCCTAAGCTGACTATACACGTGATCCTGGGGGCAAGTGAGTATGCCAAGATTAAGACAAATGTAGCACCAAAGGTGGAGGATCCAGGAGAACCAATTGCAGGACTCATCGTTTGGCTGGAACATAATGTTTCCTGGAGCCGAGACCAACCCGAGCCATGTGTAACTAGGAGCTCTTCATCAGACTATGCGCAGTTGTGCAGCCTTGATGTATTAGGACTAGAGGACAGACTCAGCCTGTGACCAACAAGTGGTGTGTAGCGAATTCCAAGAGCAACTGGTGCGTCACCCGGAGGGGTGGTGTGAGACTGGTCTTCTGTGGAAAGCTGGACATGCACCCCTTATCTAACCTCGTTAAGAAATTGCAGTAGGTACCCAGCCAACTGGATGAATATGACAAAATAATCCAAGACCAACTAAAAGAAGGTATCGTGGAGAGAAAGAGCGATGAGACTCAAGGGAAAAGAGAATGTTATCTACCGCATAAAGCAGTCATTAGAGAAACAGCGCAGAGTACCAAAATGAGTATTGTCTTTGATGCATCAGTTAAGGCAAGCGAAGGTAGCCCTTCACTAAACGATTGCTTAAAGACTTGGCCACCTCTCCAAAACGTGCTCTGGAGTGTGCTGGTTCGGAACCGTCTTAAACAAGTTGCCTGAGAAGCAGATCGTGGCGCACTTTGATTTCATTGGATAAAGGATAAATACTCATCACAAACAGAGACATTGAGATTCACGAGGGCTTTGCTCGGACTTTTGCAGTCGCCGTTTCTTCTTGCAGGGACCTTGAAACAACATTTAGAAACTTTAAGAACTGAATACCCAAAGCATGTGGAGGAAATCATGATGACACCATCGTTGGGGAAGATACGGTTGATCAATTGCATGAGTTGAAAGAGCTGCAATACGGGTTTTTAAAGGGGTAGGTTTCGATTTACGTACGTGGAACTCTAATGTTCCAGAACTGGAAGCAGATAAGCAGTTGACAGATGATAGCCAGACATATGCCAAGGAACAGCTGGAGGTGAAACCAAATGAAGCAAAGCTACTCGGGCTCCCTTGGGAGAAGGTGGAGGACACCTTAGCTGTGACTTTTTTGGGTGATTGAAACGAAGCCACAAAAAGAGAAGTGCTAAAGAACTTTGCTTTAGCATATGACCTCCTTGGGGTAGCAAGTCCTGTAACCTTGATAGGGGATGATGTGCGGAGAAACATGTGGCCGACACCGCCCTCGGGATACTGTTTTACCCAAAAAACTGAAATCACAAGGGAAACTGGCCTGGTGAGCTTAAATTTCCACGCAGTCTAACTATAGCACAGGAACCGGTCCAGAAATTACACCTGCATGCGTTTTGTGATTCTAGTGGGAAGGGGACAGTAGCAGCAGCAGTGTACGCAGTCGTGCATCAAGAATCTGGTACGAAGAAAGGACTTACCATCCCAAGGTTGGAGCTCATTTCTGCTCAAATGGCAGCCAACCTTGTAGACAATGTAAGAAGCGCTTTGGAAGGATGTGTAGCGTCTGGAGTGCTGGCTGAAGGGACCAAACTGGCTGTCTAAACCAGAAATGTGGCCAGCTGTAGTGCAAACTAAGTCAAGTAAAGAGACAGAGGCCAAGCTAGTAAAGGAAGTGTTTGCTGAGGCCACAGAGATGGAGGACACCCTACACCAGGTTCTGGAGAAACATGGACTTTGGAAGACTACTTCTCCTTGTCACGTCATGAATGGCGATATTTATCCAAAACTGTAAGAAAGGCAAAAAGTACAGGATGTCCGGTCCATTGACGTGTGATACTGACGAGCAAGCGAAATTCTGGGAGGGAAGAGCTCAAAACAGCAGGTTAAACACAAACAAGTTCCATGAAGACCAGCTCAAACTTAATTTGCCGAAGAATGAAGAGGGTCTGTACGAGTGTAGAGGAAGAATCCAGGGAAGCTACCCTATCTACTTACCACCCGATGCCTTGTTAACTCACAATCAGGGGATGTTAATTGGGTGCAAGAAGTTCCAAGCTACCGCTTTCTCAAACTCACCAGCTGGGAAATTGCCAAAGATAGAACAAAAGGATCCGCCCCTTTCGAAGTAGTTTGCCTGGTCTTTGCAGGACCAATAGGGTACAAACTCAAGCCAAAAAAAGAAGGAAAAGCATACATTTTGTTATTTGCTCTCAGCTTAACCAGAGCTGTCCACCTTCAGTTGCTACGAAACCAAACAGCTGAAGTAGCTTGAAGTTCATCTAGCTCGCGAGAAAAGGCCGCCCCAGGAAGATTTAATCGGATAACAGGCGAACTTTTGTTACCGCAGCAAAGTGGTTGAATGGGGTGGTAAAACTAAACAGCTCCAGAACTACCTCGCTCATCAGGAAATAAGGTGGCAATTTCATCTAAGCATAGCCCCCTGGTGGGGGGACATTTTAAGAGAATTTTGGGAGTCGTAAAACAGGCATTGCACAAGACTATTGGTCGAGCTAGCCTTACGTGGAACGAGCCTGCGGAAGTCTTGCTGGATTTAGAAATAGCACCAAATGATCACCCTCTGTCATATGTGGAAGACGACGTACAGCTACTTGTTTTGACCCCATGACTCACGATGTTCGGTCAACCAAGACTTGCCCCAGAAGAAAACACAGAAGAAGGGGATGCCGACTTGAGGAAGAGAGTGAAGTATCTACGCCGGTATAAAGAGGTTCTATGGAATCGATGGAGTGGGGAGTATCTGAAGTCTCTGAGGGAAAGACACAACATGGAGCACAAAACCAAAGAGATGAACGTCAAGCTAGGAGATGTGGTCCTTATCCAGGATGCTGAACGTAACCGAGAGAAATGGAATATGGGCATAGTTTTCAAACTCTTCCAAGGTCGAGATGGGGTTGTACGAGCCGTCGGGCTGAGAGGAGGAAAAGCTTTCCTTGAAAGGGCAGTCCAGCATCTGTTTCCTTTGGAGCTTTACTGTGATCAAGAGCAGGGAGTGAGAGAAGACCCCCCCGAAATCCCAGGGCAAGGGAGTTTCGCCCCGTTAGAAGAGCTGCAGCTGTAGCAGCGAACATTATCCGCATTGCGGAAGAAGAAGCTGTCGAACTTACACTATATTAACTTACACTATATTAATTTGATCCCAAATACTTGTATCAAATAAGGGAGAGTGTTACAATTCGTAGATTGATATTAGGATGTTAAGAACGTTTCGTTCGCATTGTTTTCTTTCTGAACTTGTCAGGCGCTCCCGAAGGTCGCTGGGGCGTGGGAGCCGAGGTTTATGGATATTATAGAACGTCGTTTCAAGATTGTGATTGATCAGCAAAAAAAGCACATGGCAAGAATTTGTAATCTTTACCGAGAGAGAGTTTAAAGCATTAAAACAGTTGTGTTCTTTATCCTGAGTGTGGGTTTATTGTCTGGAGGAACAGTTCTGACAACGCGAAAGAAAGCACAAAAATTGTGTCATATTATATTTAACAGTAATTCTTCGCTTCATGAAACTTCACATAAAAAAAAACATCTCAAAATTATTAAAGTTTTTCTTAAAGTACACATTTTCAAGTGGAAACGGAGCAACAAAATCTATATATATATAGTTCCTAACCTGTCGACTTACAATCAGATCTAACCTACAAAGAGTAAGTTAAGCGAATCCCGCGCGAGTGAGCGCGCGTAATGCGATTACAAATCAATAACATTAGACATTACTCTTGCATGATCTACAGGCTTTCATACAAGAACTCTTCACACTTTTCCATTTGTCAGGATGACGCCTAAAGTAAAACGCTGATCCACCAATTGCGATGACGATAAGAATGCAAGCGATCACTATTCCAGCAATAGCAGCTTCGTTGGGCAGTGTTCGTGCGACATAAACACCGCCTGCAAAAAAGTTGAAATAAGAATTTTAAAATTTGGCAGCATTTCATTCTGCTACTCTTCAAGGTTTGTTTATCACACTGATCAATGTTTCTTGTAGCGTTTTTATTTCACCCAGTGGAAACCACTCCACGCATCTGGAAATTTCTGGAGTCATAATACTATTTCTATAACAACGCTAGCTAGACAAAAAGCCCTTACGTCTGAGCCTCAAAATAAAATGCAGTTTTTGAACAAGATTCACTTTTTAAGTCTTAGCAGTTTGAGTTGTGCTGTTCTATGGCAGTTTCAGACTTTATTTAACAATTTCAACTGTCAATTATCTAACAATGTAACACCGCATTTCAAAATGTCCGTGTATTACCTTCACTTGTTTCCAGAACGGCAAACCCGTCAGATATATCCACATCACTCACTTTAAACCAGGTTTTCAAGCCCATCGCGTCTGATGAGTGGTAAAACTGGATTTTAGAGGCGGCGCTGGAGTCCACTTTCATCCCGATTTTGAACTTTTTTTCTGTCTTCAGAGAGTGTGGGTTCACTGTCAAGAAATCGCTGGCGTAACCATGGCCTACGCCCATCCGACCACCTTTCTCTTTAATCATCTTATCACCTTGGTCTGCGGACAAAAGCTGAACAGTGATTGGCTGCAAGCGTGGCAGGGTTTCGGGGCTGAAGGTCACGTGCTGCCCACTGAAAATGAAAAATACAACCATGATTTTATGCAATTGAAACATATGAAATGAATCATATTTTGTTCTGCGGATAAATACATGAAAGTGAGCATGATCTTCGCAGTAGAATGAACAACCTAAGCGGTTGAAAAAGAACCTAAAACGTTCAGGCTTCCCAGTCGAATTTTTAAGGTTTTTTATCGACTGCTTAGGTTGTTCGTTCTATTGCAAAGATCATGTTCACTTTCATAAGATTTTATTGGCAGCTTACAGTAACTGTTTCAGTCAAAATAAATTTAGCGATGTTTATCATATGTAAGAAACTGAACTCGCAACGTGAAGTGGTTCTACCATTGATCGCTAACAACAACTTTCCTCTGGACTTCGTTTACGTGGACGGTCACGTGAAACAAACTAGTCACTTCATTGACTTGACTACGTCAACCGCACGAGCAATAACTAACAATTAATGCTACTTTCACATAATTAGTTTTGTTGAAGCTTACTCAGCAAATTTCAAACTGCCACCAAGTCTACCGATCATCTTGACGATCATCTCGATATCTGTTACAATTATGCGTCCCTTTTGACTGCGATTAGAGAAGTTATTATTCCTAGTGCTCATATAGAAGAAGGTTCCAGTTCCTGTCACTTTCTTTGGTCCAAGGTCAAAGTATGTTCCAGCATCATCCAATTCTGACATTTCACCGCCAAACTGACCTGATAAGAAACAAAAAATTGGAATCAAGTTTAAGCAATCATAAAAGTCCACATAAGATAGTCCATGAGAGAGCATATCATTTCAAAACAGGTGCGAAATCTTGCTCATTGTTTAAACCAGAAAACAGATCGCAAGGAACAGGTATACATGTAGCGGTGGAGAGCTATGAGAGGCGGCCGCTTTGGTCATAACACCAATTATGACCAGTAATAGGGTTATCACCGGCGCTTATCCGACCAGAAACGGGTTTAGAACTGTTTTAGACTGCCAGTTTGTACCCCTTTCCCCCCATTTGTTTGTCGGTCGTCATCGTGCACAATGAACGTAACTGTGTGAAATACGTTAAAGATGTTTAGTAATGGACAACTTACTTTTGTCCAGTAGCGCCAGATTATGCAGACTGTTTCTGTCCAATCCCAAAAAGTTGGTTTTGTCCAGTAGCGTTGGATAATTTCTTCCCCATTCATCGCTGTTAAGTAGCAGCATATTTGAGCGATCCGTTCCCGCTTTCCCTTGTCCATCATTATTGTTGGGATTCGTGTTTGAACCAGTCCACCTAAATAATGGGTGTAAAAAAATGTAATAATCAAGATTTCAAAGAGATGGGCCGGCAGAGCAGATAGCTACTACTCAGGAATAAAAAATCCAAAATGAAGAAAAGAATTAACAATAATTTCTTGCTTACTAAATTCAAAGAAGAGCAGTTTCCTTGGAGCATAGTAAGAAGCAGTTACAGTTGGTTGATGGCTTTATTTTTTAAATTTCGTAGAATAAAGCACCGAGAAAGCCGCCTCTAGTATTTGCCTTACTAAGAAGAGCTACTTTGCCTTTAAAAGCTGTTTTTTAACATCATTTCATCGTTCTTGAAAGTCGCTGTTTTTCGATTAAAAAGTGCCTTTGGCGATTGTTGGTTAAATCGTCTCTTTTCAAAGTTTTAAATAAGTAACAATAAGTCTATTTGTTCTTTCCAAAATCAGAATGGGTGAGTGAGGTTTTTCTGTTCTCGTCTATTCTTTCTTTATTATTACGGGAAAGGGCAGGGAGTGTTTGCGGTTTTTAATGGGCCCCCAACGTGTCCCTCAGTGAAAAGCTGTCGTTGCCACCAGTGAAGGAAACCAAATAGAAGACTTACTGGAAGTGCACGTAATCACCATCCTTGACAAGCAAGGTATTGGGTACAAAGTCATACTCCACACCGGGGTAAACTTGAACTATATTCCCACGCTTTCCACGAACATTTAAGTTGTGGATCCTCACGTTTTGAAGATCTGAAGGTCTCTTGCGCACTGCCAAAGTATGGGACCTAGAAGATGCAAAACATAAAACTTTTGCGGGTCTTTTCTTTTCTCCGACATGGATGGTAACGAATGGTTTCGTTAAGCAAAACGAGACGGAAAGGCTAGGGTAGAAACAAGTACCAGTGGCAAACGGAATCTGATTGTTTACTGGTACAAATTTTGTAAAGCATCCGAAAATAAAGGAACAGAACTTAAAACAGCCCTAGGGAACAAATACAAGATTGTTTATTCGTTTTTTCGAGACCGGTCTCGAAAAGAGCCGATATTGTCGACCAATACTGGGCCAAAGAATGCCAAAATACACAAGATCCAACAGGTCTATAGTAAGGTACGTGGGTTAGGTGTCCCGAATGAATTATCATGAATTATACACTAAGATCTTTACACGAAAAGCATACATTCAGTTTTCACCAATTCGCTGAAGTTACCTGTCCTGGAAAACCCTGCCGTATTGGTTGGTGTTTACAGCCAGTCTTAGCTTGAGATCAAAGCCCGGAAACAGCAAAACCTCAGGATTTTGTTTGTACACATAACCTCTCTGGACAGCCACAGTTTCGTTCATGTTGTAATTTTTTCCAATATCAAGCTTAGTTTGCTTTAATCCATTCATAGAGCTGTTAATGGATGGGTCCCAACCATCATAGTCACCAGTGGAAATGTTGTATCTAAAGAAATGGTTCAATGATCAGCATGCTATCCAAAAAGGGGTTCACATTTTAACTAATAACCAGGGCCTCATAAATAATTACTTACATTATCATTCGAAGCAAATTTTGATCTGCTCGCCACAGACAAATCACGATATTTTGCTCAACCTCGTCCATAATTGTTAATTATTCAACCCTGACACATGTGGCATGTGACTCAACATTAACACATTCCTAGACTCACATTCTGACATGCAATTTTATAAAACAGATTTTTTAAAGAATCGATTACGTACTTCTGACCCTCAAAATCAACATCACTGGTACTTGATAGATTGGTTCAAACGGCAATTAGCGGCGGCGCTCGTTGTGTCGTTTGATTAATGGTAATCTGTTTCCATGTGGTTCTGATCTCGCATAGCAGAGAAATAAAAGTAAATATGTCAGAATAATAAGTCTACCAGTAAGAAGCGGAACTGTATACCTGATTCGCAAGACGCAGTTTTCATGATCCAAATCAGGAACGGTCCAGTTGTACTTGTTCGCGTATCCTCCCCTGCCGTTGCCAAGGTGATTGTCACGTGACCAGTCTGTTTCCCTGCACTCGGGAGCAGGGAGTCCATGTGATGGAAATTCCTTCCAGGTGGCATTTATTGACTGCAAATCAAATATACAATTGAAGAATCTTATACGTGTCTGGCCGTTATCTTATACTTGCAACCTCTCAGTTTGTGTCACTGTTTGGTCAAGTACAAAAAGTAGAAATTTTCTGTCCAGATATCTAAAAATAAGAACGCGGGTGGCTGTCTCAATATACTATTCCTTTGAGTTGTTTCTTATTTTTTGTATTTTTTCTAAAATAATATTGTCAAGTCTATCAAAGTAAACACCCGCGCATAACAACCTAGTGCATTAAGAACCTCTTCGCAGAAATTTGCCACTTTGATAGCCAAAAATACAAGAACCTTTTCAGCCAAGCAAAATCAAGCAGGTTCTTATATGTGGGTCACAGGTAAATTATGATAAATAATTTAACCACGGAGTGTAACTTTGATTTTACATAAATTTAAGTACAACAAGAATATACTGTACCAAATTGTATATCAATTCTGTAATCAGTTGTAATCATCAATCAAATTTTTCCTTCATAGAAAATAATAACTTACTTAGCCTGAATTTCCAATAAGTAACCCAAAATACAGGAAACTATTTTGCCAGACACAAAAAAAGGTTCTTATTCGCGGGTGTTATTGTATGCGAACCTGCACACAGACGAAAAAAAAAACTCTGCACCGGAAAGCTTCAATCTACAGGCGTTCTTGTGGAGGACAGCTCGTTGACAACAGACAGGGACGAACTGCTGACCGAGCACAAAAGTTCTATGAAAGACTCTACTCATGGCACAGCCCTGACCTTGAACCTCCCGATCCGGAGGTGCAAAACTAGAACCTCTTGCGGTCAAGCATTCAAAAAAACGGAAAGGCTCCTCGACCTGCCAATATCACAATTGAAACCATCTACAAAAGGTTAGTGGTCCTCTTTAACGAATGCCCTAGGGAAAGCAAGGTTCATTAAAAGTGGAATGAACCGATCATTATTCTGCTATACAAGAAAGGAGACCCTAAGAACATTTCCAACTTCCGTCCAATAGGCCTTTTAAACAACATCTACAAACTTTTCAAAGTCATCATGAACCAAATGACCAGCGCCAAAAAAGAGAACAAGCCGGGTTCCACAAGGGATTTCCCGCAACAGACCATTGCATTTTAACGTTGTAAACAAACTAATCGAAAAATGTAAAGGATACAAATTTCCTCTAGCCGTGGGTCTGGTTCACAACAACAGGACCTTGGACTCGGTCGAGATCATTCCGGACGTCTTCGATACGCTTAAGGAGTAAGGAATCGAACTCGTCTAAATCACCGTTCTACAACACACCTACAAGTACGCCAAATCCTACAAATCCACTAAGACTCCAAACTATTCAGACTGCAAAGGTGATTACGACAAGGTGATACGATACCAGTTCTCCCAAACTGTTCATTGCCTGCTTGGAAAATGTCTTTCGTAAACAACGATGAAAAAAGAAGGGAATGAAAATAGATGGTGATTACCTCGGTCATCGGTTACGGTTCGCCGTCGCAGTTTTCCCTTTCGTAAAAGGTCGCCCGTCATTTTTAAGACACTGAAAAAATTTTTGACCTGTTAATGAGAGTGTTTCGATGAAAAAAAAAGGAAATCGCAACACAGTGTTGAGCCTGGACCTCGAAACCGGACGGCTTTCGTATTCTTATCTCTCCACTGACTACCACACCGACTCGCCGAAATTCCAAACTAACATAAACTAACAAAATGTTTTTCTTAACCGATATACGACTAACAGGTGACCCTAGCCCTTTCCAAAACTTTTTACGTAAATTCAACTTGGGCTTCAACGTCGTTCTTTCGAAGACTATTCAAAAACGTATTATTATTTGGGCGTCGCCCAAATAGAGTAACCGAGTTCGCTTGTTTTGATTCAAAGTTGCGATAAGCACGCAATACGTGCGAACGTAAACAAGCCACGTAACAAGCCAAGCGACGCGAATGTCTGTTGCGCGCTGTGTCACAACACACCATTTATCTTCGTTACATGCGACCCACAGATAACGCCCGGCAAACAAATCGGAAATAGAAAACAAACTTTTTGGAAAAACAAGGTACACTGAGTGAAACAAACTATTAAATACGAAGTGAATGGTTTGGCTTATTGCCAAGAGTTTGACAATAGTTCTCTACTTTCAGTTGCCGAGCGCCAAAGAATATGTTACGCAAAATTTCATGATCTTGTGCATGAGATAATCAAGGGTAACATTGAATGATGCATAATTTCATTGTATGCTTTCGGAAAGGAGGTGATTTCTTAAAATCTTATAGAGCAAAATGACCTCGTAAACAAGTTGCATTCTTTCACGGTCGAACCGTAAAAGCGGCAGAGTCCAACATCTTCACGTGCAAACCGCGTCTATTTTTAAAAACTTTGGGTTAATTAGATTAAGTTGTATTCTATCATACAAAAACCATAAAACGGCAATTTCCAAAGTATTCACGTGCTAACTGCGTGACAATACAACTCACAGTAAGGGCCTAATCACATGAGCTGTTTATCGCTTGGTTCATTCGCCGGGCCGCCCGGCAAGCGCGATTGCTTGGAAATTTCCATCCGGGCTGGCTCGGTTGTCATATAATCGCAAAGTTGATTTTTGTTGCATTTAACTAAGGTGCCGGGTTTTCTTGCAAAGTGAGCCAGCACGGCTTATGTAATCAGGCCTATAGTTCTATCAGATTTTACCCCCTCCCCTTGACCTCCCCCATTTTTCAAACCCCCCGAGCACACACACAGAATTTCAGCCCCCCTTCAACATCTTCATACCCCTTCTATAAATGAAATGAACGTTTTTTCCTAAACAGAAAGCGTGACAACGTTTAAAATAAGTGCAAGTATGTTTTACACAAGCACCACCTCATTTCAACACACTGTAACTACACTATCCCTTCATAACCAAATTAGCGCTTCCACAACTACCTCACTGCAAAACCTAACATCACTTTCACCTCCCTTGTTACTTCATATTAAATTCTATGACAAACAAATTTCACTGATTAACAAACTATAGCTATTATCTTACCAATTCACGTCCAATATAACTTCACACCTTCCACTTCCCGCATCTCAAACAACCCCTAAAAAATACAACACTACTACACAAAACGTAAACAAGTTGCATTCTTTCACGGTCGAACTGTAAAAGGGGCAGAGTCCAACATCTTCACGTGCAAACCGCGTCTATTTTTAAAACCTTTGGGTTAATTAGATTAAGGGCCTGTTTACATGGAGGTGGGGGACCCCAGGTAGGTGAGGTAACCCGCTTAGGGGGGGTAACCCGCCTGTCCATATAATCTCTCATTTTCATTTGATCATGTTTACATGATAGGTGGGGTGACCCGCCAAGGCGGGTAGCCCGGTCTACCAGACCGGGTTACCCTCTCAGCCGGGGTCACAATTTGTCATGTAAACGTTTCAAGGTGGGGTAACCCGCCTGGCCGGGGTCGGATTCGTGATACATCAAATTCGCGCAAAATTCACTTTCGCGGTGTCTTTGCATTATGATTAAAGTTAACAATAGAAAGCTATTGCACTGACGGGTTGCAGCAAGAGCAACAAGTGAGTGAAGAAGTGCATTAATCGCCAAAACTCGTGATTTGCCAGCATTTTTCTTGTTTACGTGCTTAGCGACCATTTAATAATCTTGAGAAAGTGCACCCCGGGAAGGCGGGGTTGTAAGATTGCATGTAAAGGAGGGTTATTTTTTTACCTCACCTAAGCGGGTTACCTCACCTACCTGGGGTCCCCCACCTACATGTAAACAGGCCCTAAGTTGTATTCTATCATACAAAAACCACAAAACGGCAATTTCCAAAGTTTTCACGTGCTAACTGCGTGACAATGCAACTCGCTCCCAATGTGTGGCTTCATAGCTCAGTTGGTAGAGCAACGCACCGGCAACGCGGAGGTCACGGGTTCGAATCCAGTTGAAGCCCTCATTTTTTTTTTCAGGCTTCTTCTTTCTAATTGCTTAAATTGGAAAATTTACTGCGATGATCATTCTTCACTCTCATCTACAACTGTAGTTCAAAAATGAATTATTTCATATACTTCACATCACTACTACACAACTCACACATCCCTAATACACATAAAAATCTTCACACACGCCTAGTACATAGACGTCCAAATGTACGCTCCCACAGCGTCTTGTTTTTTCTTATTGTCCAGGGAATATATTAAATCTATCATGACTTTTAAGGCTTGGTTACTAACGGTGGCATCGACAGTTAAAAATGGACAAAGACCGTTTACGAAAGGGAAATAGGCTTCGCCGTCAACATCATTAATTCTTGTCAACAGTATTTAAGAACTCCAAGAAATGCTACACGAACTCAACCAAGCTAGCCTTAAAGTCGGGCACAGCATGAACCTATGAAGACCAAGGTTGTGTACAACGAGTTCACTGAGGACTAAGACGTACCCACTTTCACTGACAGCAACGAAATCGAAGAAGTCGATCATTACCTCGACCTCGGTCATTGCGTTTCCATGGATTCCGCCTCAAAGGAACAAGAAATCAAACATCGTATCTCCTTCGGATGACAAGCTGAGCATCTTACCAACAGTCACCTATATAGTAGAGCTGAATCTTACGAATAACAAACGTTGAACTCAGAACTATGCAGAGAGCCCACGAAAGAATCATGCTTTGCATCAGGTGGAGAGTTTGTTAACAGTTCAATAGATCCAGAGATATGTCCAGAATCCTGGACGTAAGTTTAGAGCCGAGAAAAAAGTATGAGATATCATGGAAAAGATAAGCAAACTCAAACGGAATTGGGATTGTCATGTGGCGAGAACGACAGAAAACCACTGACGACCCACATTACGTTCCGGACGCCCCCGGCGGCAAAAAAGGAACCGAGGAAGACCAAGGACAGATGGAGTGACGACTTGGATAGTTTCATAAAACGCTAGCACCGTGTCGCGCAAAACGTGGACCAGCGGTGGTTAACGGGGAAGGCCTACGTCAAACCACGGACATAAAACGGCTGAAACTAAAACTGAAACTGAAACTGTATGCAGACCTCTTTCAGTCAACTGTCAATTACTGTTAATAAATAAATGCAAAGTATTGTTAAATGCAAAAATTCTCAACAATAAACGAAAACGTCCGTAAGGCTATACCTTGGGTTACAACATAAGAAACACTCGGATTCATTCGCGTTGTATCAAGAAGGCGTGTCGCATACTGTTGTCTTATGTGTTTATGAAACACGGTGCTAAAGTTTGTACGAGCTTAGGAGTTGACTGAGACTCTTCACACAATTTACATGAGTTTTTTTTGTCTTTAACGCTGTTGTCGTTGTTAATTTTGTTGTACCTTGCAGTCCTTTTCGTTGTTTGGTATTTTGTAATTTCTCCATTTCATTTTTTTTAAGTATTCTTCGGGTAACTTGCAGGCCCACCGTCCTTTCACATTCTCGCTTTCTGATTGGTACATCTCACATCTTGAGACATCATTTGTTAAAACTGCAATGTCCTAAAATACAACAACATAAGATTGAATTCAATACTAGCTTACTCAAATAATCCTACCTCGAGGAACCTACTTGAAAGAAACGCTCTGACTGAAAAACATCAACATCGGAAGAGGAATGCTAAGTTTTACAATGAAATTAGAATCGATGCCTACATATTAGACCGTAGAACGGAGGGGTGGGCAACTACATGTACTTCTTACCTTCCAGGGGGTGGGGTGCCAGTAAGGGTAATAATCCCGCTCCTCTGGACATTCGTAACCGTGCCGTGTCCCGCCTGGGTTTTGTCTTGTGGAAGTGGCTGAATCACGTTTTAATTTCTAAGAATATTGAACAAAAGGTAAAAAGGTCTAAGGTTATTTACGTCTGCACCTAGTATAATTCAAACGGAAAATATTGGAGCCATTGTGACTACCAGTTAATAGGTGGACATATCTGAGTTTATCTTTCATATTTTGTGACCTGTCTTAATAATTGAACCCAAACTTTTTCACCGTGGAAAATTTTCCTGGCCATTAGAAAGAAATTCAAAACCATTTTTAATTGACATAGACAAGAAAACTCTTTCTGTGTGTACTTGATGTGACGTTCTTATTTAAAGTTAAAACTCAGCCAATGATTGACTATCACTAAAGCATGCATTGTGCAACAACAACAACAAAAACAGGCCACACCTGGTCTGCAGTAAAAAGCCCTTTGTTTCTGTTCCTGTATTTACAGTTTGTGTAATAATCATAATCCTCATGCATTCCAAACCTACATAACAAGATTAAAGAAAGAATTTTGCTCTGTTCAGTCACGTCAGTCTTGCCAACCCCCAAGAGGCAACGATCTTGAGATTCTGAACCTAGAGCTGGGAAAAGTAAGGTGACGGGGTTAAAAGTCGTGAGATGTCTCAAATTTCCTAGCGGGAGACGTTCAATCAAGAACTATAGGTGCAAGAATTCACGTATCATTTTGAAACAGCGGAGCAGTATCATCACGATCAGTCCTCGTCGCTGCTGACGTGCGCACTTTTGTTGCCCTCCATCTTGACGCGAACGCAAACATAAACGCGAGGCGTTTTCTTTAGATTGAGTTCAGTTAGCTGTCTAACTTGGAAACGAACCTTACGAATGCACCAAAACAGTTTTTGCACAGTAAGTTTTAAAAGAAAGCGTGAGAAATCAGTTATTAACTCGTGAGAGCGTAAAACAGGTCGTGAAATCGTGGGACTCGTTTTGACATTCAATCTGAAATGTATTAGCCATCAGAGTCACGTGATAATCAAGCTCGTTCACAGTCTAAATGGGGGTCAAATATATAAAAGAGGTTCAGAAATATTGAAAGGAGTCCTCTTTAAAACTAAAATTTAAAGTTTACAAAGGCAGACTTTTTGTAATTAATGTAATTTACCTGTCATCGCTATTGCAGTCATAATTTTTACACAATGCTGGGTTATCTGGGATGGTTCTAAAAAGTAAAGACAAAAATATATTGCGTCAGATTTGTGTTAATCCTGTATTTGCATTTGGATCACAAGAAGCTCATATCATACTGTACATATACATACTGTGTAGTGATTCCATTTCTCACATTGTCGCCACACAAGTACTGGAAAATCATTTCACAGTGGTTGTTCGGATCTGCACAAGAATGCTGATTTGTCCTACAGTGTAAGTAAAATATAGGTCAATATTTGTGGCAGGTATCAGCAGGTGATTCAGCCTCAACACACCTTATTTTGTTAACTACACACTAAACAAATGTATTATGAGGGTTTGTCTGTGCTAATTAGAAGTATTTGTATAGCTAACATCTTTTACGTCAAAGCGTACATGATTGACAGCTTCTTGTACAAAGCATAAAAAATCGAGCAAACAACGCGGAAAAGTTCAACGAAAGTCTTTTTAAATATTTTTGCAGTACTTGCTGAAGCACGAAAGTACAAATTAAGGTAACGTACAGACACTAGTCATAACTTCTTCCACTTTTTGAATTCTTATTTAATTGCTACAAAACACCAACGCCAGCTCCGTAATTGATTGTCACTTGGCAGCCATGAAAGAAGTGGACTGTCATTGTTTGAGAGGCAGGATAGTTCTGCTGAATGGGTAAACTGGAGAGAACTGGACGGGGATTCTCGACCGGTTGGCAGAAAGGAGAGCTGATGATAGACGTGATCTCTCGCTGCTCTGTTTCGTCACCTTCTTCATAGTCTGCCAGTGAGCATTCACATGCGGAGCCTGTTACACCGATCATAGCACTTCTTGGCTGATAGGAAGCCTTCACTTCTTCACAAGCGTTTTCCTTACCGAGTGGTTGGTTAACTGACTTTCTTCCCTCTATACATTCAACTCTGCCAAGGCCTTATTTTTCATGAAGGAGTCGATCTTATTGACACCCAGTCTCTGTTTCTTGTACCAGACTTCGGATTTAGGGTTTCTACTTTTCAATAATGGCGAGATAAAAAGGGCCATTTCTTCGCATTTCTTCAGGTCTGCGGGCAAGAACTGTTTTAGCCTGCGCCAGGCTCTCAGATAGTATCGTGCGGACATATTAAAACGAGCCCGCGCGTTTTTCGCATTTCATTTTACTGAACGACTTTTCACCACTATCTCGGAGCCTGGAACAGGCTAGAAATGTTTTAAAGAACGACACTGGACAACGGGGACCACCAGTGGACTTGGCTCGATAGCTGTGCGTTTCTTCCTTAGGCCGCCTTGTCGGGTCTTAGTTGGGTTTTTCTCAAATGTTATGTACTCTGTACCTTGATCATACTTGTTCAAGATGAACATTTCATGGTACTCTTGGCAACAACGAACGCCAAAATGAAGGGTTAGCAGATACCATAAGGTATAAAGGAGTGATTTTGGATTGTGGTCGCCTAGTACTTGGTTCTTCCATAGCTGCTCTTCATCTTGGACGGTAAGTGCTTTTGTTGAATTTGGTCGTTTTCCGTGGCCTTTCTCGCAAAGAGCTCTTGCTTTTCCCTCCAGGACTTGTCTGCACACCATAAATTCTCTGTCCTTTGCTATGGAGATTTTACTTTCATTTTATCTCAGGTGTCTGTCGAGAGCAGCCACCATATATGACCTTTAGAATATCTGGCTCATACTCAGAGCCGTCACTTTTGCGAATCGCGAGAGATGCTCGTTCAGTTCTTTGGCATTGTATTTTAAAATGTCGTCGTTAAGACCCTTGGTTGTCGCCCACATCTTCCAAACACTGATCCAAGTCTTAGTAGTTTTGATTGCATTTTTGTTTACTAACTTTTCGGCGAGCTGTTGTATTTCGTCCCCAGAAATTTCTTTTTGAAAACAAAAACACAAAGATGCGCGCCTATGCTGTCGTCATGGTAACTTCGTTATACCATCAGAAAAACGGCTGTAGTGTCTTGTTCAGTGTAAGGAAAGCGGATCAAGAATACTTGCGCGAATACCTCGAGGGGGCATTTTTACTCATTCGCTATTTCACTTCTCGCTCGCATTTTTCGTTCGTCAGCACTGACCGAGAGCCTGACACAGGCCAGTTTGAACCAGGGTTCGAATAGAATTTCTCTCGCCTGAGAATAGCCATAAACGGTGATCCTTCGAGCCGGCTACAGGAGACCGGATACAGGAGGATCGGCCTTGGATTGTAGAGACGTAGAATCGAAGCATGGCGAAAATATCGGCGAAATGGCATGTTGAAGTGTCAGTTGCAGACAAGCAAAGTACAATCGCGACACGTGAAGGGAACCTGCCGAGGTATTTGAGTGATTACACCAAAGTTCCCGGCCAAAACAAGCTCCAGACAATCAAGAACAGAAGGAGATCGATGCCAGCAAATTTGACGCGGAAGATGAAAATCATAAGGGAGTACCAAACGGAACGGAAAGACCGTAAGTTAATTGAGCTTGCATGTACTCAACTAAATCGACCTTCGGATCAATTGATCGACAACCATGGAGAATTTCAAGCTTTGTGTGATGACCATGAAGAACTGCAGGAAGCAGGCACGTGGTTATTGGAATCCCAAGAACTTGTAAAGGAACTGATGTGTAGAACTGTTGAGTACGGCGAAGTCAAAACACGCACTAGTGGAATGGACTCGAATGCTCATATCAAACCAAAAACACCTAAAGTTAGGAGGAAGCGAACCGACCACTCTACAATGCAAAGGTTGAGACAACGCCCGAGCTCAAGCAATGAATGATATTAAGCACTCAAAGCAGAAAGTTAAAGAATGGTTAAAAACAGTCTTACAGTCTGTCCTTTCAAAGTCGGCAATGATGACTTCACCCCCTAAACCTTTGATAGAGATCCTTGCGCGTGGGCAAAATACCACGAAACTGGAAGAAGTTTCTTCCTAATGCTAAGAAAAAGAAACGCCTGATTAAGTTTCTTCTTGAAGAGTAGCAGAAGCATAGATTTGCTACAAAAATGCGGGGAAGGCAAGTCGTAGTTGTCATTGAAGGAAAGGCAACTTATGTCTTGACTGTAAATGGCGACCAAATAGTGTCAAATAGGAAATACTAGAGTTTTGCTCAACGCAAGAAGAAGCCGATACCAAGATCACTCTCCACGTGGCACCATACTGAAGTGAATACCTCAAGCAACTCAACCATCATAGCAAGATCACCTGGCACAGATGCGCTAGTGCTGCTGATCAGTCGCACACAGGGTCTGGCTCTAAAAGAGCTGTTCGACACTGGGGTTGGAAACAACAGTTGTCTCATTAACATAAAGCAGATTGCACGTGAACTTGGAGAGGGCTTGTGTCAAAAACTACCGGTCTTGCACAGCTCTACACGCTGTGACACTACAAGCGCAATTGTCTCATCTCTTGAGACATTGTTTTTTTTGGAGTTATTTTTTCTAGGATATATATTTTTGCTGATCTCCCTCCTAAAGTTACTATAGATTTCTCGATTTCTTTACAATGTATTAAAGCTTATTCATTTGAAGTTTAATCGGAGGCTTTGCTTTTAATATTCTGGATGATTTGCACAAAGATACTACTTTATTTTAGACGAACCAAATGAAGATGAGCCTTGCAATGACATATGTGTCGGAAAAGTAAAGTCTTGCAAGATAGCACGCTGCCAAAGTTGTGTAGCAGTTTTGTTCTTGTCAATTAGAACAATGCGGGCCCTGTTTATATTGCGATTTTACCACCCCAATAAAACAGATAAAAGATCGATTGTTTAATCCCTACCTCTGGTTCAAAAATGCCAAAAATGGCGTTAAAGATGAGCAGTGCAGTCAAACAGCTTATATATGCACAGGCATCCCAAGCTCACCTTACAGGCGACCGTTGAGACGTTGTATGAGAAGTAAAATACTGAGGTCTGCGAACGCTAAATATCATTATATTTTACCTTTTTTATCTATAAAATAACAACTTACCTCTGATGTATTCCTGTGTTTTTTGGTGTGAATTCATCGATTAAGTCGACTTTCTTTGGCTCTATGCCTGTATTTTACTTCTTGTACAACGTCTCAACGGTTGCCGAGGGTTGCCTGTAATGCGACACCGACTCTCTTGTGAGAAAGTAAATTACGTTCCAGCTTGGGGCGCCTGTGATGTATTTGTAAAAATTGTTTCAAGTTGCCGCTGTCAACGTTCACTCTTTTCTGATCCGTGGTAAAGAAGATCGTGTGTCCAAAGTATCCGGTTTTGAATGTGATCCAAAGAATCCATCTCCCCTATGGATCATTTGGATCAATAATCCGTTTTTGGATTTTAGTAAAGAAACGATCGGATTTAAAATCCAGATTTGAATTTTAGCAAAGAAACGCATCCTTAGTATAAACCTCGGTACTCTACGGACGACGTTGAATGTTGAGTTGCGAGTTGCGAGTTGCGAGTTGCGAGGGGTAACTCTCTCTAAAATCATGACAAATAGTGAACAAAATTAAGAAAAGCAAACAAAGAACTTAAGGATGAAGTAGCGGAGCTTAAAATGAAGCTAGAGAAGGTTTTAAAAGGAGTTATTCTTGAACGTAAAAACTTCATTACATATCTTGGACTGTTAGGGAAAGTTCATTTAATATGACAACGGGGGGGGGATGAAGATATTGAGGGGGGGCTCCGAAAATTTTTAGACACCCGAAGGGGGGCTCTGAAAAAATTGTTGCGCTAGGAGGGGGGCTCCGAAAATTTGTATACTTCAAAACCAACACATGACATCATCATACAGATCGGATGGTTTTCAACTCAACAATTTAATGACCTGTGCAACTCAGCTATATCACGTGGTTTACAGATATAACAAATGTAGTCTCAGTAATTATTACACTCTTGTTCATCCCAAAAATGCTTTAGAAAATTGTATCACAACTGTATCTCAAATTTGTCATAGTATAAACCATTGAAGACAATAACGGTAAATATATTTAATACAGTCTAGCGATCTTTTTTCAGGGGAGCAAAGGAATTGAAGGAGGAGGGGGGGGGGGGGCTCTGAAATTTTTTTCGACTACCAAGGAGGGGGCTCCTAAAGAATTGAACCGCTAGCAAGGGGGGCTGCTAAAATTTCAAGCTTTCAAAATCTTCATCCCCCTTGTCATATTAAATGAACTTTCCCTTAATTGATGAAAAACTATCATGGAAGACTCATATTCACTCTGTTGCAAATAAAGTAAGTAAAACAATTGGCCAGGACTTAAATTGCGAGGTTAAGACATGTTGTTCCCACTTGCAACCTCTTAAATATTTATCAGTCACTAATCGCACCTTAACCTGACAGCAGGCCCAATTTTAGCAGTCCTCATACATTCTCTCTTACGTGCTCCCGCTAAAATCTTTTCGTTTCGCCTTGCCTGCCGGAATTGTTTGACTGCTCGCGCATACTTGAATACGCAAAAATACGGACTGTTTTGCAGTCTATTTACGAAGCGAAACGAAAATAGAGCCTCCCCCCCCCCCCTGCCCGGGGCCTGATCTCAGGTTAATTGCACCTTATCTAACTTACGGTCTCATCTCTTGCGGCAACGGCCTGTAAAAATTTCCTTGACCACGCGTTGCCTTTTTTGGTGCCTCAACCTCTGAACAGTTTCATACTAAAGAATCTCGACTCAATGTCAAACGAAATGCTTTCTTTATACCTGTCAACTTTTTCTGAGATATAAGCGTGAGATTTTTATCCTGGGAGTTCTGGGATTTTTGCAGACGACACGATCATTTCCGAAGAAGTCCGAAGTCTTCCGAAGAAGTCCGAAATCTTCCGAAGACGTCCGAAGTCTGCCGAAGGCGAAGTTATCGAGAAAACGCTTATCCACAAAATCAGAGATCGCGAGGAAGGTATTGTTATTTATTCATTCACACATGGTTTTCGTTCCTTACATGGGTCTGAGTTAACATATTTTTGGAAATTGTGTCAAGCAAGACGGCAATAACTCACATTTTTCAATCAGGCGTGAGAAATTGGCCCGCAGGCGTGAGCCGGCGTGAGATCGAAGTTTTCAACCCGCAGGCGTGAGACTCACGCCTAAGGCGTGAGAGTTGGCAGGTATATTTCTCGCGTGTTGGGGTCAAAATTTGGAACGGGATACCTCAAATAATTTTTCTTAAAAAAAAGACCGAAAAACCTTTTAGATATATAATAGTAGATATATACTTATATTAAGTCTCATTTTTTTGGCATTTATTCTGTTTAATGTGATTATGTAGTCTGACCTGCCTCGAATAACCTTGCTAACTGCATGGCAGTCGTCATGCCAGTCCCAGTATATTTCGTAATTTATTCACGAATTTAAATAAAGTTAAAAGTTGAAGTAGAACTTTTTTACAGCTTAAAAGTGCAAATAAATCAGTATGTAGCTGTCTGTCAAGTTAGTTGCAAGATATTCATGTAAGTATTACCAGTAGCTGTGTTCTTTTTAGAGAGTTGTTTGACTTCAAGTAATTGCTGTAGCCTGTGAATTCAGCCACCTCTCCTACGTACATTATGAAGATCCTACCACTAGGAACATTTTGTGGGAGGGACGTCTGGTATTCGGCCAAAAAAACCAGGTTGATGACACATTAGATTTGTCACGAATCTGGTCAATGAGTGCCGTTTGATTGACGTAGATCAAAATAAATGTAGAAAAATGTAAATGCTACAAATCTGCTTAAATAAGGTTTAGTTTTGCTGCTGCTCATTCAAAAAAGAACTCAAAGCTTTACAGTAATCCCAAAGAATCGTGGTACAAGATTTTCATAAGAATTTTTTATTCATGATATATTTGTTTTAATGTTTTTCATTTGTCTCTGGGTCTGTTTGACTAAATCGTTTTATTCAGATGTGGTTTAAAAAATCTCGACCTTCAGTGCAGAAGTTAACGTGCATAATCAAAGTTGCCTATCAGATTCAAAACATCACAAGAGGTACATTAGGGATGTGGACATCAATACTTAGGGCAGTTGAGATGTGAATAGGCATAAAGTAGTATAAAACTTAAAGGGTTAAATATTTATTGAGCAAATACTGGATAAACATACCATTCAATAGGCAAGACTGAACCCTCATAGTAGTACAACTTTCCAACATTGTATCCTCCACGATTATTATTCTGTGAGTCAAACATCCTACGTGGATTAATACGAATCATGCTGTCAATAAAGATGTGCATTTTACAAAAACAGCAGACAAGCAAAAACACTTAGCGCTGACCTGTTTGCATTATTTCTTTCTCTACGAGCTTCATCCAGACGATTGTTGGATCCTCTAAATAAGCAACAATGTGTGTAAATTTTCATTAATTCATCACATTATTCTTATACAGATTTCAGAGCTAGGGTAGTACTAAATCTTGGGTAGTTCTAACATCCCCAAACAAAGAAAAATAAATAAATAGATAACTGAGACACCTGCAGTTACATAACATTAAGACTGATTAAAAAATCAATAATAATTATTAGATAAGATAAGTGTATATATGGTGAGACTGACAATGGGGTAAGACTAATCTGTGGAACTGCAAACCGCGGAACCGGCAGAACCTACGGAACCAAAAGAAATGACCGTTTTATTACAATTTCCTTTGGCTAATGTGATAAAATAATTAGTTACAATATTATCAATTTTTTACCATGAATGAGCAATTTCTCGCCCGTGGATTGGTCGAGAGCTATTGTCAATAAACAGTACAGACCACTGAACACTGTTTTCATTTCCAAAACAGGAAGTCCATGAATCCGGCTTGCTTAATTTATATCAAACTGCTCATTCAAATCTTTCTCCTTTCTCTATGTAAAGGTGTCCCTCAATGAAGGTATTGATTATTGAAATTGTTGTTTATACTAAACCTACAGATGAACATCAGTACCTTTTACGTTCATCATGTCCCCCTCACACACTAAATGAGCTTTTCCATTCATCCTTGCCCTGAGAATATGACGTATATGTTCATTCAATGAGACGTTCAAACTGCATTGTAATGAATCAACACAAGCACAATACCTTAACAGACGTGGATACGATCTCGGTCTCCTCAGCCAAGAGATACAACGTGTTCATACAGTGTGTACTATCAAACACATTCACACAAGCAACTCACCCACACGTATCCCTCGAGTTGTTGGATACCACCCAGCCACTCGCTCAATATCTTCTATTTTTCACAAACACAAATACAACGTATATGTTCATTCAACGAGACGTTCAAACTGCATTGTAATGAATCAACACAAGCACAATACCTTAACAGACGTGGATATGATCTCGGTCTCCTCAGCCAGGAGATACAACGTGTTCATACAGTGTGTACTATCAAACACATTCACACAAGCAACTCACCCACACGTATCCCTCGAGTTGTTGGATACCACCCAGCCACTCGCTCAATATCTTCTATTTTTCACAAACACAAATACATTCTCTCATCCTCCCAACTTTGTGCTACTATGTTTAAATATATACCTCTCATTACCTTCCTACGTACTATCAAGCCGGAAATCCACTAAGTGGACTTCCGATTTGGAACCAGACCTCTCAATTAATGTTATGGTGTTATACACTGTTCAAAGTCCCCTATTTTCCAGAAGATCGTCGAGAGCGAGTGCTACAGGCACCCATCCTGACTGAGTCTAGCTTGACCTACTTAAAGGGTGGGGGATGCTTTGGGGACCCCAAGACCCACCCTCTCGGTACATTTGAATCCAATCACAAAATGGCTGCCAGTGAAGGTGAGTGCTCAACCTCGACCATCTTAAGGAAAAATAGGGGACTGTGAACAGTCTATCAATGTTATAATTGATTGTACTAATTTATCATGTTAGCCAAAGGGAGTCGTAATAAAACAGTCATTTCTTTAGGTTCTGTAAGTTCCGGCTGTTCTGCAGATTCTGCAGTTCCACGGTCTGCAGTTCCACAGGTTAGTCTTACCCCTGACAATGTTCCAAAGCTCTGTTCACAGGATCTGGTCCAGGAAGACATCCTGTTTTGCTAAACAGTAAAGTTTTACTCCCTGATTAGGATTCAAGACCCCCAAATACTATTTGTTCTGTAAATTAATATTATTTGCCGATGCAATTCTCTCATTTAAAAAGTCCAAGAAAAATATATCTTCACTCAGACAGATTGAAAAAGAAAACAGTTTTAGCTGAAGCAAATGAAGAACATTGTACAGTTAAATTAAGAACTCTCTAAATTTAAATTATTATTAAGACCATAGAGAGTTAATCAGAAAGGATTACCCTGTTATCATTACGGGTCGGAGGCAAACTAGTTGACTGTTCGGTAGAAATACTCCTGGAAATATTAAAGCAGCTCAAGAGCTAACCCTGCAGGATCTGCTGGTATTTTTCAGTCATCAAAATTTGATACTTTATATTAATTCTGAAAGGGCTTTCTTACCTAGGATTATGCATATAGAGGTCTGCCGAGACAAAAATCCAAAAATGCGAGAGCAAAAGAAAAGAGTTCATCTTTCTTCTCGAATCAGAGGTGGCACTCTATACCAGTTCGAGATATCGCAGCAACATCCATCGGAGGTGTGATTTTGAAATCACTTTCACTTTAATATAACACCTGATAATAATACCAAATATAGGCATGTGTTATGGACGCCCGGAACATGACATCATTGATTTGCTGTGCATGTCAAGTGATGTATCAAACTTATGCTCTCCCAAATTTTGGCCTCAAACAATGTTTGTGTTTCGTTTGTCCTCTTTGTTTATGGTTGTAGAATCACTGATCTATAAAACAGAATTTGAAAAAGGTTGGAAACGAAAATAATCGCTGTCACGCTAACGTCACGCAATGATGACTAGCAATGTGACATTTTATTTCATAGTACTTGACGAGGTGTATAGGGATGCTTTCGTATTTCAATTCAAAATGGCGGCCATTGGCGTGGGTGCAATTCAGGTCATTCAGCAGCTACATTGTAGGTCTTGGTGAGAAATTTTATTTCTATTTTTTTTCGGATAAGTGATACAAATTATTTCACAATGCCCAAGCAGGAAATAACCTCCTTAAGGAAATTCCGGTGTTAGTGGGGATGTCACCTTTTTCAGAAATTATCCTTGGTTTGCAACCACGCGACAAGAGGGTTATGTTTCACATACCTGAATCCAAAATCATTGTAAGTAAAACAAATCATAGATAAAAACAGATGTCGGTTAATGGATAAAGAACAAAACATGAATAACAATGTAGATTGAAAACAATGGATTCCGTTTAGTAGGTCGACATCAGCACTATGGCGGCCTCTTAAACCTAAAAATAACGCTGTGGCTATATGGCCGGTAACCCGTCAAGGTGTTGAAAACACTAAATGGCCGCCAGTCCTATATTCTCAGCAAATTTTATAAAATCGAAAGATTCTAGCTAATCTAAACTAGCATATGTCGATTTAGAAAAGTCAAGCAATCCTGAAACGCTTTATAGATCTCAAGTCTAGTGTTTGGTTTACGCTGGGCTCAGAGGACGAAACCATGTTTGTGACACTTAGAACTTTTTCCAGCTCGACTGCCGGTCAAGGTTTTCAAAACACTAAATGGCCGGCAGTCCTGTATTCTCAGTAAATTTCACAAACCAGGCCAGGTATGTGCGGTTGAGCTCATGTTGCCAGAATACTTTGTGCCAAGCATAAAAATGCTTCCTGAGTGTTTAGTTTAGGTGACTTTCTCTTAAAACGCCCATTATGTGCTCAAAGATTGTGGATTCTTAACCTGTTTTCGGCCGACACTGAGCTGTGGGCCTCACGGTTTGACTGACTAAAAGATTACAATTTCTGGACGTCTCAAATGTTGTTTATTCATGGAAAATAGAAAGACTGGATAGGAAACTGGCTGACGCGAGTGTTTCCAACATAGTGGAAAAATGTGACGTCACATTATCGAGAGCCATTCAACCTCATTCGACGTTTTACGCGTCTTATGTTTCGTCGCATATTTCACTCTCTCTGTCTTCGACTATACATATTGGCCATGTTTTGAAGTAAAGGATGAAGAGGACTTGCTCTTGGAGAAGACAGTTAGAGGGTACAAAACCGGTAGGGGCAAAAGACAGAGTAAATGATTATGAAACTTGTGAGAGCGACGAATGACTCCAGCGCCCGATAATTTTATGCACCAAACGGGAAGCCTAACTGCTTAAAAAGTATGCAAAAACTTACATGTATACAGCTACAAAACACCCAAAAAAAAGGCCCAGCCTAATTTTCTTCAAACCACAAGAAAACTGGAAATAATTTTAACCTTTTCATCAGGGTTTTCACGATTTCTTTTCTGCTTTTATCGACAAGCTCAGCGAGTGTCAAATTTTATAAGTTAACAACCCTTGACAAAATGATTTTATTAGCGGTTTAAGTACCCAGCTCAAACAAGATAGTGTTTAATTTTCCCTTCAATTTTATTTACGGACAACCAGTGACAAGAAATCGTATTTGAGAAATATAAAGAAGCAAGGAAAAGCTCACAGCAGAGAAAGGAAATTTGCTTGCAGACCACCGTGGAAACGCTGTTTCTAAACTTTTTCAAATCAATTTTCATTGTGAAGCAAGTTGTTTTGTCATTTTCAGGTATAAATGTACAGTGACCCAAGGTACTTTTCTGTCAGGTCTTTGAAAAAGTGAACTGCAACGCTTTTAAAAATGTTATGTAAAACGGTTAATATTAACTACTAGAATACAACTCGGAAGCAAACTCTCCTGGTTAATAGTAGAACCTTCACTTCTTTTTCATTAGGAAACCCTTGTTTTTCAATTTGTCCCACTCACAAATAAGTAATAAATACACTTCAGAAGTGATAAATAAAGTTTCTTATCATAAATGATTTAGATGCCACCTTCTGGCTCTCATGCATGACAAAAGCAACTTTGTTGCTGTTTAATACAGAAAGATTGATTGATTTGTGCCCTCTCAGAAGAGTACTTGACCACAATTATTTTACTGTCTTCATTGACTATGTGTGTTTGGCAAATCCTACAAGAAAGAAAAACAAACAAAAATGTAAAACACTGTTTAAAAAATAACAACAACACTTAGGAATAGGAGCCTAAACGGAGGAAAAAAATGTCACTAGGTGTTTTCCCATTGATGCAACAATTATTTATAGTTTATGTAAGGGAAAAGTACAAAATTTATTTGAGTCTCTTCATTGCCTTCGAATACAAGCTGCGAGGAGCAACGTGAGGCGATTGTATTTACTGGATATGTGATATGGTAGTTTTATTTCAACATTAAAAGATGAGCAAAATTAACATACTACTTTACGAACAATATAGCAGGGTTAATCTATGATATTACTTGAGCGAAACAGTTCTCAACACAAACTTGTCGATTGATCGGAACTTTACACACGGTGTGCGTACCCTTGCTCGGCGCCAGCTCCGAACGTAGTCAGTTTCAGCCATTTTCAAATAAAATTTATGGCTGAAAAATAACAGCATTCAGTCTGTAACTATGCCTATGCCACAATTCCATTCTTAAAACATCTGTCAATCATAGTTAAGAATACAAACAAGAAGAAACCTTCATAACAAAGGCGTCCCAAAACAGTCGCCAAGTTAGTGTACTAAATATGGCTCTGGTAAGGTCAATTTCTGGGATGCAATTTTCTCAAAGACAAGGACAAATAACACAAAACAACAACAAGAAGTGCTTACCTTGAAGGTTCAAGTGCGGCTTTGAAGGATCGCCACCGCCGTAAGACAACAAACGAAGGAAAAAACACCCACCAAAAATTAAAGTACCACTAAAAAATCCAAAAAAGAACAACATGCAGGCAAAGACACCCAACATTTCGACTGGTTTGCACCACATTTTCGCCATCGTTTCGTCAGAAATCTCCACTATGATGGAACCATCCAACGCCATCTTGGAGCACGAACCAACCAATCGGCGATAAGAAATCAGCCCACGTGACATAAGTTTCCTATCCAGTCTTTCTATTATCCATGGTTTATTTCACTGTAAAATCCTGTTACTTCTGCGAGAGAACTTTACCGTCTATTGCCAGCAATAGTGCTGTCATTGTTTAGCTTCAGCTAGTGACTTTTAACTGCTTCCCATTCCACTTAGATGTCAAATATTTAAAATGCACTTGAAATTTCTTTAGCCACTTTTTAACAAATCCAGACAGATATCAAAAGCCTTGTATTCGTTTACATATAATTTTTCTTATCATTATTTAAAGCTAGGCTGAAGAAATATTTCTGTCCTTCATTTCCAGAAAGTAAAATCCATTCGAGTATGCATCATACGCACAATATTTAAATAAATACTTAACCCCTCCCCCCCACTGGGAAAAGGGTTCTTTTATTAATATTGATAGGGTGAAAAAAATAGAATCTCACTACTTTTTGTAGAATCGCCAGATTTTTTTTTGTGAGTCTCCAGATTTTCTTTTATCAGTGGTTGGCAGGTCTGTGTATAGTCAATTAAACACCTGCAATTAAAAGGTGGGGTCACCTTGCCTCTTTTCACGTTACAGTGTATGTTATTACTGAGTTGCACACAAAATGCTCAAAAATCATACGACCTTCAAAAACCATAGCAAAAAGCATGAAGAATACAGAAAAGTAGAGGCTATTTGTTTGTCTGAGCTATAATCTTTCAGTGATGTAATTTCAGATTTTTCAATGTTACGGAAACAAATAAGTAATAAAATGTAGTTACTAAAAGAAGGAATGACCGAAAATGAGCTACATGAGATATCTAAAGTAAATGCAAATGTCTCAAATTAAAAATTAATTAAACAGGAGAAATAGTGTGAGTATTTTCACTGACTTGGCATATGGTTTCAAACAATTGAATAGAATTAATATTCATGCTAATTGTGGACAGCTGTCATAAACAGTCCTTAGTTTTACTGTTCAAGGTTTCCTAAACAACTGAATAACTTTGCATTGACGAAGAGCAGGAAAAACATGTCATGTAATTCTTGTTGCTGTGTGGTGCAGAGATGGTGGCACAAAAAATATCAGTTCCCCCCAGCAATGCAGTTTTGACTGGCCTAGAGCTGCATGATGGTACGTGCAAAAGATTTGAGTATGCCTGGCAATGTAGTTTAGATTGGTGCAGAGTTGACAGCCCAGAAATCTTGACTTTGCACAGCAATATAGATACAGGAGACTAAGATTGGGCTCTAAATGTTTCCTCTATATATGAAAGCTGTTAAAATTAGGCCTGTTTGGTAGAGAGTTCATAGCAGAAAACTTTGAAATTGCCCAGCAATGCAGTTGCAGAACAAGTGTATTGTCAGTTCTAATAACAACTGTGTTGTTAGGCAAACTGGCTGTTTTTCATGCTGTTATCTCCGTGCCAGGTGACTAGAAAGCTTACGTGACATGCTAATCCCATTGTGTGCCAACATAACTTTATTGCATTATTTAGCAAACATGTTACAAATACCTGTCAACAGTAAAACTAACAAAACGCTAACTGTAAAACTAACAAGTTCAACTTGTTAGTTTACAGTTAGTGTTTTGTTAGCCTGGCTCAAACCCAGAACAGGTGAGTGCAATTCTTTCAAAACCACATGCAAGGTCAGGCCTGTTTTCGTTAATATTAGGTTATTTGGGACATAAGGGGAATCACTTTACTTTGATTTACTTATCAATGTGATGCTGACTGAGATCTGAAAAACCT